TATGTAGCTACTTTTTTCTGTCACACACATAATCAATTAATTTGTTATTATTACACAAAAATTATTATATATATGCATAATTTAAATAATGATTAAATATATATACATATACGAGTATTTAATATAATTTCGGCACTGATAATTGGTGTGGCTCTTATTAGCAATTTAATTGATTTGTGATTTATCTCTTCTTAAAGCTAAAGAAATATATTTTTACTCAATTATATAGAGAAAGTCTTCTATATATATTATGAGATACGCGCCTAATTATGAGATAGCGGTGTTTCTGCTAAACTAATAGACGCTATCTATTGATTCCACCATGAATTTATTGCTCTTGGATTGAAAATTGTTTAGTAGAAAATTTATTATTAGATAATGCCTGTAGTCAGTAAAAAAAGATTTTAGAATTTGAATATCTTCAAGTTTCATTGAGATGAGTCTTTAAACATTGTTTATTATTTAATAAATAAATATTTGGCAATAAATTCTTCATGTAATGATAGAGTAAGGTCGTACTAATAGAAAAATACGGGATATGTTGAATTGCTTAATTATAGAAGTTAGATTTGATGATCGCAAAACCGTAAGGCGTGGAAATCGTAATATGAGATACCCAGGGTATTTCTAATATCAAATAACCCATGCTCTCATGTCATAGTGAAAATCATTGCTAAAGTATAAATGTTATTGTACAATAATAAAAAGGACGACCAGAATGAACGTCGAGTGCCTATTTCTGCGATGCTTGATTTCAACTACTTCAAGACGAGTTCTGGATATAATGTATCGCATACTCATTTTTCGCGCACTCTGGCTGTGTTTGTTTGCATTTAAGAAACATTAAATAAAGTTTTTTTAGTTGCAATATACCGATATACTTTGCGTTTTACTATCGATTATTTCTCGGGGCATCTCATATTAGGAGCACAATTTTTTGACTTTGCAATTTGCTCACATTTTACATTTCTTTAATTAAAAAAAAAAATAAAATTTGAATTAAATTTTATATAACATTATCTTAAAGCTTATTAAATTTCCTTCAAAATGACCTATTATTTTTTTAAATTCTGCCCATAGACTTCATTTACCCAAAATGGACTCGGTATCTCATAATAGGGTCCTTTCGCCTACATATAATTATATATACACATATAAAAACAATATATATATATATATAAATGAGATAAAAACAAAATTTGTATTATATATTATTCTATTAAAATGTATCAAAATAGAAATGTGTTAGGCAATACTAATTTTGCTAATCTCGTTTTTGACAGTATCTCATGCATAAATAACTATTAGGAGCAATTAAGTTCCACATGCGCATTTCGCTTAATCATGTAAAACAGGTTTTGCGTTGAAAGAGACGGAGAACGCAGAAATTTAAATATGCCCACGAATATTTAAATGTACGCGCCCAGGCTAAGGCTAAGGCTAAGGCTATGAATGCGTTCCATTTAACATTCGTAATATTCGTAAGCATCATTTCATACCTGTCATAAAATATTAAAGGATGTAATGATGCATCCGAGCGTAGCGAATGTTAAATAAAAACATACTCTATATATATGTTTGGGATTTATAAATCACGACAAAATGCTCCCTTAATGCGAATGAGTTAATGCAAATAATTTTCCACCGCTTTATTTCTTGGCCATCATGCGTCCCTCCAGCTTCCGAGAAACTATTCAAAGTCTCACTTGATATTCGTGCAAGGCATAATCGGGAATAAACGTTTGCATAGCCTGTGCGCAACTAGTGTCGTTGCAATGTAAACAGTCGCATGTATGCATAGATATGACGACGAGAGAACCCCGATAAAAACGTCAATGCAATCGACAAATGCATCATGCTTGGAATATCGCTGCTCTCTCTCAATTTTTTTCTCTTATTTAATGTTCTTCGCAGAAAATGATCATCCCGTAAAAGAAATAAAAAAAATACAGCCAACTACATATAATTGGTAACATTAAAATATTAGCAAAAAAATTGGATTATTCATATAACACGAAATACTCGCCGATAGGTTTACTTGCTTCAAATTGGTATAATTTGGTTTAATTTAATTCCAATAAATAAATAACGGTTAATATAATAATAAAACAGTTTAAAAGAAAAATTACTTTCGAAATTCGTTCGATTAATACGCCGCAAACAACGATTGTAACTTCGAGCGCAGAAGGTGGTAGATGGCGACCGGATTATTTCGCAGACGTGCAATTCCACAGACGGCTGGCGCGAGTAATGAGATAAATTTCTAACGATAGTTGGAAACAATTGTCTCTTGGTGAACCCTCCGTTGCTATTAGAGCCACACCCGCGTGCATATGCACGGCAAACGAGTCAAATGTTCGCGCTGGTATCTGGGTTGCTCGCGTACTTGAAGCGGATTTAATAAACTGCGCGCGAAACCTAACCGTCGAGACAGAATCTAAATTTTCGTGGCAATTTCGCATTCACGAAATAGAGCGCGGCATGATGACGCCAATAGCGATTTGAGCCGCTGCATTCAAGTTCGTTCCTTGCGCAATAAGCGTAAATATAAGTGTAAATATAAAAGTAATAAAAATCCTGAATGCGCCCGTTATTTTATCAAGTGACTGAGATATCAAATAAATTAAGGCTATGGCATACAAAAAAGCAATAAAAGCAAATCAACTTTTCGGATTTGCTTCTGCTTACATTATTGTCCTATTTTCTCTACTACGATGGACTGATTCGTTTACTGCTTTTCTTTTTTCTGTACGCCATGTGGTTTTTATAGGTGATACAATAATAATACTAATATACAAGGTTTTGTGCAAGAGCATATAAAGACTGTTTCTAAAATAATTTTCGACGCTAAGTCCGAATTTGCCATTGAAATATTTTTATCAGGTCTGATTTTTGAGATGTAAGAAAAAATATTTTTTATAATATACAGTGAAGTTTTATCAAAATTAAGAAATAAATCAGAAGATTGAACGGTTCAATTTTTGTGTTTTATATGATTTTGAATCGGTTTCACGCATTGGAATCTAGGCAGCAGTTTAACATGTTTTTGTACTGCTACTTTTGATAACGTGATAACATTTCTCAATCATCATCAAGTTCTGGTGGAAACCTTACTGACCACTTGTATCCAACTTATTTAGAAAAAATATTTATCTTAAAATATTTATCTTAAAATATTTATCTTAAAATTAATATGCTATCTTTGACCTGATAGAATTTTTCTGACAACATTCGAACTCAACATTTCAAAGTGCTTATAGTATTTTTATTCAAAATTCCAGGTAAAATTAGACAATTTAAAAAAAATGAAATAAATTACAACTATGAAATAAATTAGAATGCAAGTAATGCAAACAAACTTTATATTGTAAATTAGTAGAAGACAGAAGGAAGACTTTCACGAGGCTATATCTATTATTCTATACAATTGGAGTCATGAAATCTACATATATATAGGGCAATATAAAAAAGATTCACTGCAATATAGCGAGCTACTCTCTTCTGCTGAGAATTTTTTAGTAATGCCACCTTTTTTAAATAAAAATTTGCGAAACTGATTGTACGTGAATATACGCGGAAGTGTATGCCACTTATTTTTAATCAATTGTCCACATTTCATATCATAAAAAAAAAGATATTTTCAGAAAGAAAGAGAAATAAGTAAAATTTCAAAAATTTCCAGGAGTATCGATAAAATCTTTCTCTCCCAAATTTTCAAAGATAAAAGAATCCCCTGAAAATGTTCAGTTTTCCATATTTTTCTAGGTAATAAACATTCTGAAGTAATATCTTCTTCTTCTTCTGAATTATCCATCCCGATTAAGAGTGATTCTTAGACGACAATATATACTATCATTTCATCATTTGTTTGTAATCCCACCGATCTCCCGAGATCAGATCTACGTTCCGTTTGTCGAAACACTGTTCCATTAATTACAACAGCACTTTATCTTTAATCCTGCGCGTCAATTAGTCTTCATTAAGCTCTCGAGCTATGCTGGATATTGATAACGTGCGTCGGTACGAAGTATGCGCGAGATAGGGCGATCGATCACACGTGGCACTTGTGCCACTTCGAGAAAGTAAGTCAATGTAACTCGCCCGAGTAAGGCTGCGCGCGGCTGATTCGTCGAAACAGTCCAGGTCCCTGAAACCTTCATTTAGTATAGATCGCGTCATCATCATGATCAGCCTCTCCAATTCGCCTATCCGTCGGCGACGTCAGCCGGAACTTCCGCATCGGATATTCTGTGGATGATCGAGTGTGCGTGAATCCGCGCGCGATATCGACGGACATGTTAAATGATCTTCGATAGCGTAACTCGGCGAATCAAATCGATCATTGCTACAGAAAGAGCACGTGTCGTACAATGACATATCGCTCGAAAGTAAAAAAAGACAAATTGCCGCTTAATATTAAATTCTTAATATTAAAATTGTAATATTAAACAGTCTGGATATTTCCGACCACTTTCAAGTTTAATATCATAATATCGAATTAAATGCAAATGAATTATATAGGCAACTCACCGAGAGTGTCTTTGCCAAGAACGCTTCATTAACATTCGTTCTTTAAATTTCGTCGTTCGGAATCGACGTTAAAAAATGTAGGCCCCACATGATTGCGTACAACCAACGTGCACACCACAGGCTTATGAAAGAAGTCACCACGGTCGGTCACGGGCAACAGAACTAAGAAGAATGCCCGTTTCTACCAATGTAGCTTAATTTTAATCTCGGTTCAACTAACTCTTCATTCTCTTCTAATTTGAAGAGTAAGTTGAACCAAGATTGAAGTTAATCTACATTGTTAGAAAAAGGGCATGAAAGATATACCATTTACGATTTTTTAAAGAGAATAAATCTCGACATCTTTTCTAAAATAATATGAAGTCGTAATGTTCACGAGATGTATTCGAGATTTATTCCATGTGGTTTGAATTTTTACGCAAAATATCCTATCGCGATCGATTGTTGCAATTATTTAATAGTGTACTCACCTCTCGAGAGTTTATCCACAGATTCAAAACGTCCTTCGACCTTGTTCCGTAGAGCATCCAAATCGAAGGGTGCTGTAAATCCATGATCCACACTACGGCTCTTGCTCCTGTAATAGAGTAAATGTAGTTGCTAATTAGCTTTACTCTCGTTTATATCTCGAGCTCGTTGCACAATAAATTTGATTAAAGTAAAACGAAATCTGCTGAAAAGTAGATTAGAGGAGAAGAATGTGTCGAGATGTACTCTACTCCAGACGTTTTTAAAAAATTAATTTTAAATTCCCTGCAAATTCCACTCCAAAAATGTCGATTTGCAAGATTTGCTTAAAAAGTCGTTTGAACAGAAAAGAGAAAAAAAATAGTTGAAAATGTGAAATGAAAATGATGTAAAATGAAAATAAACGCGCGAAACTATCGGATAATGAAAAGGTATTTGTTTGCAGTTTACGTCTCTGAAATGGAATCAAGACGCTTGCACATTCGGAAATAGAGTCAAGAGAACTCGTCGACTTACTCTTGTGGGATGTGCGCGGGTAGACGTTAATAGTTTGGCGTGACACTATTTGTAAAACGCTCAGCTCAGTGGAAGCAATCTCGCGTAGCCATAACAAAACGTAATTTCACGATGCAACGAACCGTGCACTGTGCAGGTTGTCTCCATAAGTCGCGTCGTCTACGAACGCGTGGCCGACAAAGATAAAGTCCAATGAAATTCCTGCGAATGGGTCTGAATAATACGATATAGTGAAACGTGAAAGAAAAGAAAAAAAAAGAAACAATCGGTGAATGAAAAAATCGGTGAACGAACTTGCGTTATGTCACAACAGTGAGATAACATATATATGAGATAACAGATATATTGCTGTAAGTCACATTTCTGTTAAGTTTCTTTTAGAATTGTTTTAATTTTTGTAATTTTCCACTTTACGTGTAATTACATAAATTTCTTTTGCAATCATCTTACGGCTAGATTTACCGTTCAGTAAAAAGAAAAAAAGACGTATTCAAAAAAACAAGATTCTACTTCTAAATCTTGGCAGTCTTACATGCTTTTTATATACTTGCGTGCATTGTTCTAAAGGATGCAAAATCATACTATATTCTAAACATCAGCAACAATAATGAGATAATATCTATTTATAATACTTAGTTCTTACTGCTGAAGAGAAAATAGAGAAGTAATGGGATGATAACGTGCATATGTGTTTTGCATACCTGACATAAGACGTCGAGAGATTTTCCGTCGATTTCGAGGTGACATCCTGAGAGAAACGCCTGGACCTGGGATGCAACAAACAATCCAAAACAAGGATGGTGAAAACACATGCAATCTACAACGTGCGCAGGAGCTTAAAAAACTAAAGTCATAATTAAATTGAAAGAAAAAGTAAACTGCAGTACGCTTGAAAAGTAATTTCTATCCGGAAAACTATTTTCCACGCAGAGAGTACTTAAAGTATTTTAACCTTTCGCAGAATTTAATGAGCGACCTTGCGTACTTGACACTTTTAATTCGCACTGTATGAATGTGCAATTTATCAAGTATAGCAAATTTTTCACAGTTTTGTGTATGTGTGAAAATAGTATTAATTCATCACATTTGTTTGTGAAACAAATTTTTATTTTTTCAAAATTTCACTAAAATACATGATAATTCGAAATTCTTTTCTCTTGTTATATAAATTTAAAAATACCGTTAATATAACGGCATTACTCTTTTTCCAAAATATTCACTCTTCTACAAAAACGTGTCTTCAATTTAAGTAAAAAATTCCACTCCAAGCGTACGGCAGAACTGCCAAATCAAATTAAAAACAAGCGTGGGTGCAAAAAGCAATTCGGCAAGAGCATGACGCTCGCAGCTTGAAAATAAAACATTCTGAACATCAAATCGAACTAATCGTCAGAAAATTAATGATCGTAATGCATTGTAGCACTCTAATGGATGCTCATGCAGCTTTGTTATTTGTCGCAATCCGTGCTGTGGACAACAAGTGTTGTCTATGTCGTGCGCGTAAATCACGAAAATGCAATTGCACTTCATGCGGCAGTAGCCATACTCGATTCGCTCAATTTGAAAAGTAACATCTGCGCGCACTCGCGGGAGGCTGCGACTCTTCCCGCGCTAATTGCATCCGACGTTTTAATTCAATTACATTCGACACGGCTTAGCGGGTTCACTCGTTACTGGGGAAGAGGTCCGAATTAATGATTCCTATAAAATATCAGAAATTCTTTTCTCGAAACAATATACACTAACACTGAAAAAAAAAAAGAAGATATTACATCAACAGCGTTATTTTAATTAAAAATAATTATATTAATTCAATAACAATATTAATGAAACAAATAACGTTTTAAAACAAAAGCATAATGTATTTGTTAGTGTTATCGAATTAACAAAATTATTTCCAATTAAAATAATGCTGTTGATACAACATTCTTTTTTCAGTATATTTACATTTTTTAATCCAACGAAATATGACTTAAATATTTTATTCTAAAACTATTGAATTATTCCAAATCTGATTCAATAAAAAAATTTATACCTTTTTTTACTGTGAATTAAAAAAATTATTCACGAAGGCTATTGTACAACAAAAAAATAAGAAATATGTTTGTTGGTTCTTAATAAAAAAAGTCGTTTAGATTAATTATATGTTCAACTTTCTTTAGGGATTTTTTTTTAGAGAGCCATTTTTTAGAAATAAGCAAATTTTGTGGACCGCATAATTATTTATATCGTTTGCATAAAATAAAAAAAACATGTTTTTATATTTTTTGCTGGCAAATAATTCACAGGCAGACCGCAAGTTGAACATCACTATGGTTTAGAGAGATTATTCTATAATGCAATATATCACAAGCGAGTGGAGTATTATTCATTAAGTGAATAATCGAATTATCCACATTACCGATGAATTAAACGATGAAATTGGATTATTTGAGGTAGCAAATTTTAAGTTAAAGATTTAAGAAAGTTTCTATTGTAGAATTGCGGTTGTCTCTACATTTAGCGCTGTAATATTTAGCAACTCGGCAGAAACTCGGAAGTAATGTGAGCCAAAGGGCGCACACGTGTACACTAATCAAAACTGAGAGAAAATGTTTTATGTATCGGAAGATATAAATTCGAAACTTCGCAGCATATATCTGAATACAGAGATGAAATAATAATGTACAAAATATAACGCTCAGTACCTTCGGATGTGATTCATTTTAATTGTTCCGACCACACACATACATACATTTCAATTGCTCCGACCAAGGGCTTCGCAATTTGTGCAAAGTTGGATTTTACTGGCGATTAGGCAGAATAAATTTGCGTTAAATCGTACGACGTTATGCCAATAATTAGCCGTCGAAACAGCCTGAAGGGCAGGCAAAATTAATATTACTGTGCGACATTCCAGGAAATAAAATAAATTGTCGAGCAATATTTAATTAAGTGACCTAACGCGCGCACCCTTTTCACCGGTCCGGATAAATATGAGCGGACAGATATAAATAGCTTTGGCACAATTTCGATGGCTCTTGTTTACGCGCCCGTTGCTTTCACGCACGGGCAATATACTTCGCCAAAAAACAAATATTTACGTAACACTTCGCGATGTCGTGAGTTATATTCGCAATTTTCCGCGACGGAGGCTGAAAGATGGCACTAAAGTATACATTTGCTGAGGAAATACTTCATGATTGCGCGATAAAAAATGCATAGCATTATGTTAATTATGAAAATCGCGGTACGAATCGAGAGAAGGACAATTAATAAGTCACTATACTGCGAATTCTCGGCCATCGGAGATATAAATAATAAATTCGTAATCCCAGTCAATCGAACGGACTTTCGATGAAACCACATAACCGCGTGCCTGAAATATTTACTCGTTTATATCGCAATATCGGAATTTTTAATCCCTCTTTGAACCTGAAGTGCAAACTTATATGTATCTTCCTACAACTGTTTACATTTCATACACCAAATTTATCGCAATCAATCTTTGAATTTCTTTTTAATTAACAAAACCTCGTAATTTGTTCGAATGTCACGGATAACAAAATGAAGAAGGTATAATTGTCTATTTCACAAAAAATTATACAATAAATAATTTAAACCCCAGTAATATACCTAATTGTTAATCGATTTTAAAAATATTTCTTCACTTGTTTCAATTATTACAATATAATAACAGCGCCTGGAAGTAGGCAACTGTGAACAACTGCATGCATAGATGACGTCGATTTTTTTGCAGGCGCTTTTCTCTCTTATTAAAGTTCCTTTTCTTCTCATTATAGTTTCCTTATTATAGTTTCATTCATATATCTACTGACGTAAACAGTGATTCAGACACAGAGCGAGACGTGCCAAGATGCGCCACAAGCTAACATTAAAATAATACGAGTATTAGACTAACAAATAATTAGAGTATTAATATTAGATATTGCCACGTCAACCAAAATTGAAAATAAAATTTCAGTAAAATCGAAGCAGAATTATTGCCACAAACTTTGATGGACATTTCATTTTTATTTAAGATTTTTTCAATCCTCTTTTTAAAAAGCTTTCAATTTTCGAATTTATTAAATATAAACTTGGAGAGAAGAACGACAAATATATTTTACACCGATCTAATATTTATCAGTTACATACATATTTTTTTTAAACCTTTATAATTTTAAATTTTACATTTTTTTTAGATTTTATAAACTTTAAATATTTTAATGTAAATAAAACAATAGCCATAATGTGAAGTACTATAATATCTCAATAATAATCTCAAATATAATCTTAATAAGAACGTTATAATAATATAACAGTACAGAATATTCATAGTTTCATGATAAGCTTTTCTAATTAAGTGTACCAAACGTGCGAATAATAAATTACAGAAGAGACTTTATACTAAAGTTCTCTCTGATTTTTTCCTGCGGCTAATGTGTACTTTTGGAACTTAAAACGAGATAGGTAAATATTTAATATTTGGCGAAAGCGAGAAAGAGTTTTAGTGTAGTGCAGGAATAAAATCAGAATTTAAAACAACAGCATAAAACAATCGCATTTGAAAACGATGAAAGTTGTATCGCTAAGAAAAAAAAAAATAGAGAACTCTGCTTTTAATCCACACGAGCGCATTTCAATCTATTCGGAAAAGTTTCATCATAATGACTTTACTGTGAAAGTTTACGTACACTCTCTCTCTCTCTCTCTCTCTCTCTCTCTCTCTCTCTCTCTCTCTCACTCTCTC